TACAAAAAATAACCTACATGCCAAATTGTGATTTAATCAACTATCTTAGATACAGTACTCTTCACTTTATTTGATACTAAATAATAACAAAACATAATAGTTACACAAAGTCAATTATTCAGTATATACAGTGACATATATTTGACTATGATACAAAATATAAAATCTCATATCCATTATATGTTGTTTAAGTATCATTTGCACAATTATCTATGAGAATGATACATTGTACAAAAAACAACCTACAAACAAAAATGTGATTTGAGCACTTATCTTATATACAGTTCTCTTCACTTTTGATACATTAACAATTAACAACAAAATTCGTAAAAAATATTGTATCTGAAAAACAACTGCATATTTCAAACAAGATACATAACAAAAAATTATTTATCATCAGATTAAAAGAAAACGAATAAAAACAAGGGATACATATATGATAAAAAATGCATACCATGGGTAGTGCTGGTCGATTAATGGGAGGGGCAACCTTTCTACCCCTTTTCTTTGGGGTTTTCGCATCCTTTGATTTAGAATATGCATGTACTTCCTTTTCCAATTTTCTTTTGCTGGAAATTTGATTTGTCATTATTGTCGGGTCATGCATCCTTTTAGATCTCAATTCTGTCCAATTAGGATCTTCTGAATCAAATATTCGAGATTTGGTAGATGTTAGATGCATAATGCAAGATCCAAAACGATGAATACACAATAAAAAAAGAAGAAGAGGAAATTATAATGAAGAAGATGAGACAACTTAATTTGAACTCTGCATGTTGTTGAATAGTGATAGGATTCTTTTGAAATTCAAATTGATTTGAATTTGATAACTCATTTGGTAATGGGGAGAGATTGAGGGCGAAAATTAGGGAATGGAAAACGTCAATTTTGGCTTCCAAAGAATAATGTATCCGGTAAAGTTAAATTGGGGAAAAAGTAGGGAATTTTGTATTATAATAAAAGAGTAGGGAAATAATGAGAATAGGTAAACTAATGTTATGTACTTTAGTATTTTTTTTCCTATTTTTATCCCTACCCCCGAACCAGCCTGTAACACCTCGGTCTTAGAAAGAACTAAATTGGAAATAACCAATTTGAGAGTAGTGCCAGTTATTCTTAAATTGTGAGTTTTGGGTTAACTTCAAACGACCATAACTTTCAGCACAGGATGAGTTAGGTGACCCAAGAGATATCAAATCAAAGTTTGTTGAGTCATCTTTCCAACGCCGCTGAGTTTGCTAAATTCCGAGTCTGGATGAGGGAGATATGTCATTTGAGTTCAGCCTGTCCAATTAAGAAAATTCATCAAAATTAAGGAGGGGTATTTTAGTCTTTTCCTTACTCCCCCACTAGCCTAGCTCATTTTTGTTAATCTTTTAGGGGTCTAAACTGATTGCAATTAGTTTTAATCCTTCATAAACACGCTTAGGATTTTAGTAAAGAGTTCAACAGGAGAAGAGTAGAACGTTCAAGATTCTTGCGAGCTTTGAGGATTCTCGCCAAAAATTTGATTCTTTCGAGGTATGTAAGTTCTCATAGTGATGGGTTAGTTCACCCATACTCCAATCATGAATTTCCTTATTGAATTCGTCCATGAGATTTCGTGTATTGAGTTCTTGATGAGTTTTCTTGAGGCTTTGTTCTTCATTCGTTATTAATGGAGTTTGATGAGTTCTTGAGGCGAGGGTTTTGAGTTTGAGGGTTGTTCTTGAGGAAATTTGAGTAGATTTTTGTTTACTTTTATTGGGTTTACGAATCTAAGAAAGTTTGGAAGAAATCAATCGATTCTTGGTAAATTAGTGCAAAAAATCGAGAAGAAAAATTCGTTAGAATGTTCTGAAAATTGGCTGGGACGGCACTCCCCAGATGCGCCAAGAGGGCTGGCGCTATGCGCCTGCAGCGCGCCACAAACCAGCCCCAGTAAGAGGAGGGCTGGCGCCGCTCACCAAGGATGCGCCAGAGCGTCAGCCCACTTTCTTCTCCGTTCTTCGATCCGTACTTGTTTCTTTGAGTTGAGCTTTCATTCTCTTCTTAATCCTATCAATTTAAACCCTCATTAATCATCGAGAGATCCTATATATCATGAATCATAAATCTTGAATTCACATTTCAAATTCAAGATAGAGTTAAGAGTAATGTTCGAGGAAGTCCTTTCGAGTCATTTTGAGAAGTCTTATACAATCTTTTAAAACTTGTTTAAAGACTTGAGTACATGAGTATGAGAATGAGGAGAGTTGAATTCATATTTGAAAATGAATAAGAGGGGACTAAGTATTCTCAAGTATGTACCACCTTTACATTTAAAAACGAGAAGAAACTTTGTTTTCTAAATGAGTTCATGAGGAGTTTTTGAGTATCATCTCTTTTCAGAGAAATCTTTTGAGTAATTATCTCAAATTGAGGAAGAGTTATGTTTTCTTTAAAACATATGAGCATGAGTTATAAATATATTATTGGGAGTAGAATTGAGCACTGATATGAGGATGCGTTCAGTCAACTAAAAATCCTCATAAATCATGTATGCCAACATGGGTAAAGGATCATACATTTTAGATGATTCCTTATTGCTTTTAAGCATAACTTAGTGGATCCACTTAGTTTAGGATGTCTTATACTCCAACAAGGTATAGGACAGTTCTGGTAGCGTGGGCGAGTTGTATCATCACATAGCTCATAGTGATGGTTGTCGATTAGAGAATCTCCTAAATAAGAGTAAAGAGTTTATTATTGTGTTTTAAAACACATTGAGGTATTATCTACTGATTTAAAAGCTTTCTTTATACTGTATCTTTATTGTTGCTTTTATATTGAATTGATTTGAGTATTTCTGAGTTGAGTATCCTTGAGTTGAGTTAAGTTGAGATGAGGTGAGTATGTCTTCCTTTTTATCAGTTCAAGCTTATGTCTATGCTTTAGAGTTCCCCTTGCATGGTCGTACATTTATTTAATGTACTGACGTCATTTGGCCTACATCTTTCATGATGCAGATACAGGTAATCAGGGTCATCAACAACAGTTTCAGATTTGCTTTGGTGAGTTTCCTTGCTTCGGAGGGTTCCATACTTACTTTCATTCTTGTTAGGATGTCGTGGGTCTTGTCCCGACTTCCATCATAGTTGTTAGAGGCTTCATAGACAGTAGTGTTTTGAGGAGTCTTTTCCATTTCTATTATTAATATTCAAGACTTGAGTTGTGTTGAGAATATTATTATTAAATAGTAAACGTGTGCTTCTCTCTAACAGCTTAAGCTTTTAGATGAGATGGTCACACACTTCAACATGGTATCAGAGCAGGCAGAGGTCCTGAGATCGAATCTCACCGCCACCCAAATCAAAAAGAATTTCCACATGCTTGGTCCATAAAAAAAAAAATCAGACCCGCACGTGAGGGGGCGTGTTGAGAATATTATTAAATAGTAAAAGTGTGCTTCTCTCTAACAGCTTAAGCTTTTATATGAATAGTTTTGTATTGATATAGCTAACCAACTTCCTCAAGTAATGATGTCTCAATAAGTTGAACAGTTTTGTATTGAGTATTTCAGAGTATTTTGAGTTAAATCGTTATGAGTTGAGTTTATTTTGAGATTTCTATTTCAACTGAGTAAGTTTTCTGCTGAGTAGTGAGTCAGGCCAAGGGTTCACTTGGGGACCAGAAATGATTCACGAGTGTCGATCACGTCTAGGGTGTAGGCTCGGGGAGTGACATAGCCCCCTGCCCCCATCAAACAAAAAGATCAAAAAATTTACAAAATATTTTTGAAAATTGTTTCAAATATTAAGATTTTTTTAACTCATCCAACTCCT